TTGTGGTAAACGCTGTTTTCTGTACATTCCTTGCCTGCCTGACTTTTCCATATAGTTTGCTGCAGAGGAAAGCGATAATGGTTTTGTTTTCTCAGTGTATTTCACCATATGTTTGTCATTTTAATTCCATCTACCATAAGTTCTTCTACTATATATTAAAAATAGCCCTGTGTACATATGTTGCCCATGTGTTAGAGTTTCCTATGCTCTTGTTTTTACTGTAAACCTTTGACAGAAGTAGGGAGTCGTTCAAGGTCATTTTGGAATATAGGTATCATGCACTACAGTACTGACCTCAAAAATATCTTCTTGATGAGGGTAGTATTCATGAGAAGCCTTCACAGGAGGACCTTTGGCATGCTTACTGCCCTACTTTCAAATTAATCCCATGTCACTATGACTGGTTCGGTGGATGCTTTTTATTCCTTTAGAGTATATAATTAGTTTTGATAAAACCATTCAGAATACCAAAGGTGCAGAGAGAAAGGCTGGAGGTTTTTCTTTGCAGGAAGGTGTTCTGTTTCTGTAATGGATCTGTTTGTGAACAGCCACCCAGCTGACCTCTGGAGTCATCCTAGGCACTAATTCTATTGAAAGAATAGTTCTGTGGGGATCTAGCATATAGTATTTCAAGTCTGATTTAAATACAGTAGTACGATTTCCTGGAATCTAATTGATCCACAGTATTGTTCATTTACAGCTATTTATACATCGTTGTACCCTCATAGTTTCTTGGAAGGGAAGAGTAAGATCTTTTAAGGTGGCACCTGAGCGCAGTTGTGTGTAGTGTATTTGAATGTGTACCAGTGTTAGTTCAGAAAACGAAAAACAAATGACACAGCAAGCGTAGCTGAGGCAGATGTTGTACAAAGTTTAAAGCTATCTCTGTCAAATTCTTTCAGTGAGATCAGAACTTTTACGAGTCACTATGGCCCTGCTCTTGGAGCAAATTTCCACGTGAGCCTAATTACAACGTCTTTTGCTTTTCTGACGCGAGTAAATCACTGTGTTGTAACGGGTTGAGTCCCTTCACCCCCAACTTCATTTCATTTTCCCTTTTAAAACTCTGGTCTTCTGACCTGAAAAACCAATCCGTTAACCCAATGATCCAGCCAGGATGTCTGTCTGTTTTTTAAACTTTGAAAAATCGTTTATTTTCAGAAGCCCAACGTTAGTGAAAAACATACCCACCAGCTTAGGCTATGGAGCAGCTCTTAATGCAAGCTTGCAGGTAAAAAATACTTCTTTCTTTGCACACACTAATTATGTACTTAGGTGTGACATATTTCATTTCCTGTTATACTTTGGTATAGAGTTACCTATGTTTATGTGGACCTGATGGTCATTCTGAATAGTTGGGTTTATCATCCAAGTAAGTTGTATTACCTAGCACTGCAAGAAGTACTAGTTCTTATTCATGCTACTTTTGATGTGAAGAAGCAAGAAGGACACCCTGTGGCAAAATCTGGAACACTCAGTTTTGCTGCAAATGTTAGATTGATAGAAGCTTTTGCAAATGCATGTGGATATGCATTAATATTTATCCAAGCTGTCATAAATGATTTCACATCATAGTGTTGGGGAACATGGTGCTCATGGCAAAAACTTTAAAGTTTAATTATAATATATAATTTTTATGCAGAAGAGGCAAATGTCAGGACTTTTTTTATTTTGAGTTAAGTTCTGGTCATTTTTTAAAGTATATCGGCTGCCTGCATTATAAAAGAGCCATACATTGTGTGGAAGGGCATACGGGTTAAGTGTAATTCAAAGTCAAAAAATGATGTAAAACTAGAAAGTGCTATGAATATCGGAACATAGTTAACAATGGAAAATAATGAAACCCTGTAAGAGAAATAGTAAACCAGAAGTAGAGATGCTGTTATATTCAGAACATGAAAATAATTGAAAAATGCACAAAATCGGTCTGACCACCTCTACAGCTACTCAAAATGAGCTGCTTTGCGTGAGTACATTCACACATGTATGAACAGTGAGAAGTGATTTGTGTATGTATGGACTAATAATTTTATTTTTACTCTTCATTTTGCTAGGCTGCACTGGCAGAGAGTAGTTTACCATTGCTTAGTAACCCAGGATTGATAAATAACGCATCCAGTGGTTTACTGCAGGCAGTCCATGAAGATCTCAATGGTTCGCTGGATCACATTGACAGTAATGGAAACAGCAGTCCGGGCTGCTCTCCTCAGCCTCACATGTAAGTGCAGTTAGTGTCCTTCCGAGAAAAAATGCCTTAGTCTAAGACAATATTACTCAAAAGTGCCTTGAAACATGGTAAGTGAAGAATCTGGAACTGTATGTTTGAAACTAAACACTGATATCAAAACATTTAAATAGATGAGTCTTCACTTACTTTGTAGTAAGACTAGTGTAAGCTTTTTTGTTTAGTTCTGGTTTTTAAACATCTTCAACTTGCTTGCAAGCACTGAATGTAACAGGAAACTGGTCGCTGTGGTCGTTTTCACAACCGGGTTTGTAAGGTGTAGTCAGAATGTTCATGTTGGAACTAGTTGTAATTTTGACTACGAGTCTCTAAACCATTTATGAACTGTAGTGGAGATATTGCCCATTTATATAAACCGTAAAATGCAAAGTTTAACTGTTGCCCACAGTTTACGTAGAAGCCAGTAAAGTGTAACTTTTTGCCTGTCGTATAAATCAGTGTAATTACATATTCAAGTTTAATTACTGGTGCGTCTGTATTGGCAAGGTTTATATGTTATATTTTATGCAAGACTACGATTCCTATTAATATTTAGCAGCTAACTATATCATTAATTACTCTAAAATCTTTCCCCTACCATCTTTTTAATGGAGCTGAGAGAGTGGAAGTATTAAAAATTGATGTATTGTGGATTTCAGAAATGTGTCTGAAGCTTTAGAAATGCCTGGCCTTAATCAGCGGTGTCAAACGTGGCAGTTTTTTGTTTACTAAATAGTAAAACATGTATCTTGGAGGTATTGTTTCCCAGGTTATTTATATAATAATTAGCAGTGTGGTATCTAAGTAGACTTAAATCTAAGTTTACGTAAGATGATTTTTAATGTGTATGTACAATTACGGTCTCTCTTTTCTTATGTTTGAAACAGCTGATTTGATTTGCCTTTTTTCATTCCATTTTCTCTTTCACATTTCTAATGTTCATTCTAATTTCTAGAGTAGGATATTTAGCAGTAACAGTAATTGAGACCAAACTCCCTTTTTACATATGCTCTGGTGTGTGGAGAATCCATTTTGATCTGACCTTTTTAGGGGAAATATTTTGCCAAGTTTTTCTTCTTTTGTTCGGCATGTTAATATATCTGTGATCACATAGAAATGTTTATTGTCACGCATTTAATTGTTTTATTGCACATTTATTCTACTTGCCTTTGAAAATAATACAGTGTGAACATTCATGTATTTTATCAGGTTCCAAACCATTACTTTTTCAAAATGGAAAAATTTGTCTTTTGGAAGTGTCTTTAGATGTATTAAATAATACAAAAGAAGTAATAAAACTTGAAGTAGAAAGAACATGAATATATGCTCTTGAGAGTAACACTACTCTAAAACAAGTAAAGTGAGCAATCAGACAAAAGTTTTTATATCCCATGCTTTATGCTATCAACCATGCAGTGGGTAGCTTGAGGCCTTTTACTTTTAGCAGTTCTCCTGAGTATGCTAATGCTCTCTTCCTGTATAAAATGCCAAGACAATAAAACTTTAAAGAGCAAACAAGAGTTAGATCATGTGTGTTAAAAACAGCTACTTTACAGAAAAGAATGACACTTGCTATTAAAGTTGTTCTGTAAGTGTTTGGCAGATCTGTTTACATATCCTATGTACTGTCTGCCGTTCGCCTGGATAAACTGAGATATCTGTGCATATGATTATGTAGATAGGCGACATTTGTAGCCGTGTTTATAGCTAAAATACTGCATATTGTAGCAATTCGTGCCGATAAAAAGGCAAATAACTTGAGTTACACCCTAACTCAAGATTCAGCCATCCTCTCTGGTTTCTGTGATGTCGTTTGTCAGAACAGGCGGTTTCGGGACTTGCCGTGGTGACTCTCTTGAAACTTGTGACTACGCGTTGCTGACTTCTTGATAGATGGAAGCAATGGAATGTAGAAGCACAGCGATACTGCTGGAGAAAGAGGTTATGCTCATTCATTCCTTGCACCAAATTTAGTGTCAGATTACTGGCCTTCTGTGAGACCGTGAACTATCAACTAAAGGATACAGGCTATGACTAGATGCCTGCTCACTTGTGAAATGTTTGCCTTTTCCTCGCTGAGGGAGCTAAGAATATTAAAAAGGGAGTAAATGCAGTCTTCAAGGAAGAGTCAGGGAAGGGAGAGGCTTCTGCAGGAGGCAGAGGACCAAGGAAGAAAAGGGGCCTTTTCCTTGCCTCCCTGCCTACATTGACCAGGGCACCTCATTACTTAAGAAAATGAGAAAAGAACACAGGGACGGCATGACAAAGTAAAATAAGGAAGGAATATGGCAAACAATGAAGAGAAATTTTAAATCTTTATGTTACCTAGACAGATTACCTAATACCAACTGTGCGTTTTTTAACATGAAAATTAGTTAATACGCTAGAAAAAATATATTTTATTGCCACAAGCTTCCACTTACTTGTAGCTTCCTGAGGAGGTTCACCCAGGAAGGAAGTCTTGGTGTTTCTCCCCTAGAGAAGTGTTCTTGGGAGGTCATAATTACTGCACTCACCTATAAAGTCAGTGGCTCTGTTAGCCTCCAAGTAGCTTAAACCTCCATCTCCTGATTCCCAGGAAAGTGTACTAGCTATGAAACCAGGAATATGCCGAGCAATTCACTTTCCTTCCATCTTGAAGCTGGCAAGCAGCCAGGAGCAATGGAGCATGGTGTTAGTGAAAGAAGCAAGAAGTTGTGTGCGATTTAGAGATCAGAGCATTCAGTTGGGAAGGGGCAGAGTTTGCATTCTAGACAAGCTTCCAGGGAGAGACATT